GTTCAGCTTCTCATGTATTTGTTAAGAAAACATTGGCGACCCTCTGACGTCTTTGTTCCTAAAGGACTAGACCTTTCTTTGATGCTGCTTTTGAATCAAATTATAATTACAATCACCTATTGAAATCACCTGTTTCAAATCACTTGTTTTCTAAAACAATACATATACAATCAGTACAATCCTCTCATCTGCTAAAAAAGTAATCTGGTCATTCCTGTTCATCCCAAGTTCATATAATAGCATATCATTTGCTCTTTTTTTTTTTTTTTGCGCATCACTTTCCCGTTTGTCCATTTTTAAAAGGATGTGAGAAGCACATCAATAATCACATGCAAGTAAAATAATTAACTGCACATCTGCTGGATCCCCTGGCCTTTGATGTGAGTGCTTTCTACTTCCAGCAACATACGGTTTACAGGAGCCAGTTCACCAGACCAGAAACATATTGCATTTGTTAACACATTTACTATGTCGTACATCAACAAAACATCCCTACAGACTTTGTATTTACACAACATGTGTCTCATTATGCCAGTGCAATGAACAAAGTTCCTCTTATTGGAGGAAACAGACCGCAGTTTTAATCCCAATTGAGTTTGTCAGGTTCGAGTGATTGGCAGAGTAATACCAGTGGTTCAAATCCTTGAGGGAAAAGGCTTGTGCATATTACAACACATCTGAAGTACGAATTCTTCTTTTAGCCAACATGGAAAATGGGCATCTGTGACATTTGAAACATTCTATAAACATCCACAAATAAATACTAGTAAAATTGAGGACCTCATTCAGAGATTATGCTGCAAGCAGAGTAAGTCTGTTGTATAAAAGCTATTCCCTTTGAAAAAAACCCTGTGAAAACTGTTAAAGGCATCATTCACCCCAAAATGAAAATTAGCTTTTATTTTTTTAACCCTCAAGCCGTAAGTCTAAGATATAGACTTTTTTTCCTTTTCTTTTGCAGAACATTAAAGATTTTTAGCTGGACAAAAAAGCATTGATACAATTGATAAAATGCTAGTCAGCAGCTACGGGCAACATATAGACAAATCAATTGCTGTTTCCCAATATACGTACTATCTGACCAAAATAATGCTTTGAAAATAGAATTGTGTGTTTCAGATGTGAATTGTGGAATAAATTTATAAATTGTGTTTGAAATCATAGAATGATGAAATGAGTATTTCAAAGTTACAATACATTACAGCCACAGCCATATCACCCTGCAGCCCAAGATTACTTACTGATTACTCACTGAAGCAGGGTGAGCCCGGTAAGTACCTGAATGGGAGACCACATGGGAAAACTAGGTTGCTGTTGGAAGTGGTGTTACTGAGGCCAGCAGGGCGTGCTCAATCTGTGGTCTGTGTGAGTCATAGTGCCCTAGTAAAGTGAAGGAGACACTATACTGTCAGTGAGCGCCGTCTTTCAGATGAGACGTTAAACCAAGGTCCTGACTCTCTGTGTTTGATAAAAATCCCATGGCATTTCTTGTAAAGAGTATAACCTGGGTGTCCTGGCCAAATTTCCTTCATCAGTCCTTACCCATCATGGCCTCCCAATCATCCCCATCCAACAAATTGGCTCTATTAATGTCTAGTCACTCCACCTGTAGTTGGTGTGTGGTGAGTGCACTGGTGCTGTTGTCCTTATGCTGACGTTGCATCATCCAAGTAGATGCTGCACATGGTTGCCCACTAAACGCTTTGGGTGTATGGCCATACATAATGAATGCGCTATATGAATACATTCCATAACATTCCATTACATTACGCATTGGATGTGAATTCGATTACAACCTCCAACTTGGATAAAAAGAGATCAAACTACAAACATGTCATGTATAGAGAGGCTTTGGTAAAGATGTTTGAATGATTGTTAATATCTATCACAATTGAGAATATTTCACATTTGACTCATTATATTTACAACAACAATGTGAACATTTGGTCGTTAACTTTTAAATGCATAATTATGCAAGCACTTGACAAGACTTGGGAATGGCAGATTAATCTTCTGATGCATCTCCAATATGGTAGGATATTAAATATGAAAGAAACATGGATGATGGGATGGAGCACGTAACTAAGCAACAGAACAGTCCGTTAATGAGGAATAAGTATGGCCTAAAGCCTGCATACTCTTCTGTTACACACTTAAAAGTATGTACTTTTTCTTCACAAAACTTACATAAGTGTAAAACATGGTATAAGTAGACAAATAGGTTTTTAAAGGTTTTTACCATGTGAATAAAATCAAATTTAAATTTTCCACATTTTTTGATTACCTTGGACTGATTTATGTAGTTGTTTCGATGAATCCCTTACCCAAAGAGCACGACCAAATATTTGAGCTACCCCCAGGTGCTTTTTTGTTTGTTTTGGAATATTATTCATTCATTTTCCCTTAGTTTAGTCTCTATTTCATAGGTCGCCACAGCTGAATGATCCGCCAACTTTTCCAGCATATGTTTTACTCAGCGGATTCCTTCTAGCTGCAACCCAGTATTGGGAAACCAGTTGGGAAACTTATACACACACACTCATACACTTTGGACAATTCAGCCTTCCCAGTTCACCTATAGCGCATGTCTTTGGACTGTGGGGGAAACCAGAGTACTCAGAGAAAACCCACGCAAACCTGGTGAGAACATGCAAACTCCACAAAGAAATGGCAAATAGCCCAGCTGGTACTTGAATCAGCGACCTTCTTGCTGTGAGGCTACAGTGCTTACCACTAAGCCACCGTGCTGCCCCTAATTAAAAACATATTTTTATTAAATGACAGTTTCTTTTTCTCACATAAATTGACAGTTCTGGATATGAAGTTCATGTTCTTATATAGTAAGATGACATTCTAAAATCACTCAGGTGTAATTCTGCATACAGTTCTACCTCTGATATGTTTGAAGTTTGCTGATTTTCGTGACAATTATTGTTCTTCAGCCAAACCCATTTTTATGACTCAGCAACTCCGTCTACATTTTCTTCAATGCAATAGGGCACTACATAAATGTGATCTTGTAACATCTTGTCCTGACTATTGACCTTATTCTAAAATACGGAAGTGTGCCTGTTTTCGCGATTGTCTTGGAACTTCCGTTTCAGTCGGCTATGGGAGAAATGACAAGGAATAATAAACGGCAAAAAACGGTCAAACTACTTGCTCTACAAACAAATGTTTGCATGACTATACAGACCAAGTAGAATAATATGACAAGGAAATATCAGTTTACAACATCAAACAGCGAAACAAGCAGTTTTTTAATGTCTAAAAATGAATGGAAGTGAATGAGACCGGAAGTCTCGTGCCAAAAATATTCAAATGGCAGCGCACTGCACAAATGTGGCACTGCAACACCTGGTAAAAGTTCATAAATCAAAAGTTCAAAAAATGTTCATGTTAAAACAAACTTTTGTCCAAACCGTTTGTGATAGCGACACACAAAATATCTATTTTAGTAATAGTTTCTTTTTCACTGCAAAACAACAGCATAAACTACTATATTAATCCTCTCAGCTACTGATTATGTGTTAAATTAAAGTGTTAAATTCTACCAGTGTGAGTTTAAATACCATTTTATAAGACATTTATTGCCATATTACTGAAAGCAGCAGCAAATATAGTTCACCTCCGATCTTGAAAATAAAAAAACTTACAAATGATTTGAAAATGAAAGTTCGACTCAACCAACAACAGTCACTCAGCATGTACTTTTAGTTATGATCATTCGTTCATTCGTTCATTCATTTTCTTGTCATCTTAGTCCCTTTATTAATTTGGGGTTGCCACAGCAGAATGTAATGTAATGTAATGTGTATTTATATAGCGCATTTATTGTGTATGGCCATACACCCAAAGCGCTTCACAATCATAAGGGGGGTCTCTCCACACCACCACCGGTGTGCAGCATCCACTTGGATGATGCGACAGCAGCCACAGGACAACGGCGCCAGTGCGCTCACCACACACCAGCTATTGGTGGAGTGGAGAGACAGTGATACAGCCAATTCGGTGGAAGGGGATGATTGGGAGGCCATGATCGTAAGGGCCGATAGAGGGACTTTGGCCAGGACACCGGGGTTACACCCCTGCTCTTTCACGAGAAGTGCCATGGGATTTTTAATGACCACAGAAAGTCAGGACCTCGGTTTAACGTCTCAACCGAAAGACGGCGCCCACTGACAGTGTAGTGTCCCCTTCACTTTTACTGGGGCATTAGGACTCACACAGACCACAGGTTGAGCGCCCCCTGCTGGCCTCACTAACACCACTACCAACAGCAACCTGGTGTTCCCTAGTGGTCTCCCATCCAGGTACTGACCAGGCTCAGCCCTGCTTAGCTTCAGTGAGTAACCGGTCTTGGGCTGCAGGGTGACATGGCTGTGGCTTAACCACCAACTTATCCAGCACCTTTTTACGCAGCAGATGCCCTTCCAGCCATCTCTGGGAAACATCCACACTCACATTCACACACACACACACACTACGGACAATTTAGCCTACCCAGTTCATCTCTACCGCATGTCTTCGGAGCACCCGGAGGAAACCCAAGCGAACGCAGAGAGAACATGCAAACTCCACACATAAATGCCAACTGAGACGAGGCTCGACCCAGCGACCTTCTTGCTGTGAGGCGACAGCACTACCTACTGTGCCACTGCTTTGCCCTTTTAGTAATGTTAATTGTGTACTAATCAGATTATAACCCTTACCATTTCCTTGAGAATGCAGTGGCTGTTATTTAAAACAATGGCTAGTATTTAAATGTTTCTGTTGAGTCACAATGCGTTTAGATCAGACAGCCAAATCTTGTGTAGTAAAGACAGTGTAAGTGTTGAAATAATCCAAATCACATTTATTTAGTGTTAATCTGCAGTCATCGATTCTTAACACATGACCAAATGTTTCACACTGCAGACACAACCTGGAGTGTCTTAAATTTAAGCTCTGTAATTCAGTGGTAACCATGAGTCCCTGTTGGTGTTGTAATGTTTCATCAGGCATCTGAACTTGGCAGTGCGTCCCAAACAGCTCCCGGCGCTGGTGCGCAGCGGTGTTCCAGAAGCCTTGAGAGGGGAGGTGTGGCAGCTACTGGCCGGATGTCATAACAATGACCATCTGGTGGAGGAGTACCGGACTCTCATCACTAAGGTAGGCTTACGGTTCCCATCCTCCATTTCAGTGCACATTTCATTACATAAGGTGAAGCAGAGGACCAACTCGAATGCATCCTCTTCATTATCAGTGCTTTCTTTGGTTGGCCCAGAAGTTTTGATCAGATATCTCGATGAATTATTTATGGAAATGTAGAGTTACATGTTTGTGCATAAGGTTTCCTTTTTACTGTAGGCATGAATGATGCCTAAACGTGTTTTCAAGCACAGATCTGTTAGTTTGCTTGACATTGGGGTATTTATCATATAAATGAACACTCTGTAAATTATGTTAACTAAAAAAACAAGAAACATTTCTCAAAACTGTTACATTAGGGCTGGGTGATTACAGAAAAAAAAAAAATCCAAATATCATGTTTCATATCATTCCGTATTAATAGTAATCAAATATTTTTAACAACACTCTATTTAGAAATGTTAGTTATTTTTAACCACTTTATTTGCCAGTTGTGAAGTTGAATGACTATAATACCCCCAATGTAAAAAAAAATAAATAAAAATCTTTCAGATGGGTGCTAGTGGCTGGGATGCACAAAAAAAGAAACCAAAAAGCCACTCTGTCGGCATCCTTACATCCTTTTTATTTAAAATCTCCTCACTGCTGTTATATGGCACTCATTTTTGCGTGTGTTGTTATTCTGACCTGAAGTGGCAATGAGGCAACACAAAACTCACACATGAAAGCATCAGCACGGGGTTTTCTTCACCATCTTTAATGCACTTTACACTCTGCTCTCGCGCACTGCACGCAGTGTTTGCGTGCGCTGTGTTTGTCTGAGGTAATTAGTCCACCATTACTTAAACGTGTATATTACAAACAAAGTGTTAAGCAGATTTGTTTGGTGTACTTACATAAATTGTGGGGCACTCGCAGCATTCTGGAAAGTATAGATGCTTTAAAACATGTTATTGTTATTGACAATGATGTTCAGTCAATAAATACCGATAGCATTTTTATGGTCCAGCCCTATGTTACATTAATGTTTTTATGTTAAAAAAACATAAAGCATTGTAGTCTAAAATTTGTCACCGGAGATACTTTAGGTTAATAGTCACAGTTATTATTTAATGTTTGTTCCATCTCATCTCATTTATTCATGGAATAAAGGCCATCAATGTCCATTTTCTTCTAAGATTTCATTAAAATTACTGTCAGAAATGACTAGTTTTAATTAGAAAATCTGGAATTTCAAGGTCCTTTGCCAATCACGTTCACCTCTCTCTACCTTATGTTGTCTGTCATCTTTCCAATATCCATTCAGCAAAATCATGATAAAGATTTAAATGAAATTAAATGTTTCAGACTCTTAAAGGGTCACGAAACACCAAAACACATTTTTTGAGCTGTCGTATATGTGTCCCACACTGCTAAAAACACTATTAGGACACCTATATTTCACTTAAAAGTGTAAATTGGTTGTTTTTGCGTTATTTCAAGCAAATTCATACTTCCGGTTTGAAACGAATTTTTGAAGCTGCGTCACGGTCATGACATAATAGCGTTGTATTCCAGCCTGCAGACTGGACGCCTGTGCCAGAGTGTGTCTTATTACGTCTTACAGTGTGATGCATTAATGCATGAGTAAGGCTTGGTTCAAACCAATCAGCACGCTCTATTGTGCAACTTCATTAATATTCATTGCTGTCATAGTGTTTAGCCACGTTGTGTTGGCAAAACAAGCGTGAAGTGTTGCTTTTATAGTTTGCTGCAGTTAAGTGTTGTTTTCATTTTCTCTCTGTGAGAGCGCAGACTCACGTGTGGATTAACAGTGTACGCGACGCTCGACAACAATAACTTACGTGTCTAAGGAGGATTATTGTTTACCTGAGAGCTGTTGTCATCTGCAAATGCTGAGATCCGGATTCGCTTTAGTCTCCTTTTAATAAAGACGCGGCTCTAGTTGCTGGTGATTGTCCTGTCTCTACAGATTTGGTAAGTGAGCGACCAGTGCTCTTTGTTTATGCAGTTTGTTCGTATCGAACTAAGTTAACTATTGCACCGAGTGTACACATGTTAGCACTACAACCAAACTTTAACCTCGTGTAGGATTTTCACACGCAGCTTTCTGACGCTACCTGCTAAGTGCATATAAGTTTCTGGGAAATGCTGAGTTTTTTTTTTTCTCTCATTCACTGTGCGGTATCAAATATTGCATGAAAAAATACACGCTTAGAGCAGTTCCTTGAATCAAATATTTTGTTTGTTGCGAGGGACATGAATGAATTCCCTGAATGAAAGAGCCAAACTGCAGTTAAAGTCCACCATTTAATAATTTGGCAAATAAGACAGATGTAATTAGTAGTAATCTGTAGTAATAATACTACAGATGTTCATGTACACAGTCACTTTGTCCCCTGTGTGTGTGTGTGTGTGTGTGTGTGTGTGTGTGTGTGTGTGTGTGTGTGTGTGTGCGTGCGTGCGTGCGTGCGTGCGTGCGTGCGTGCGTGCGTGCGTGCGTGCGTGCGTGCGTGCGTGCGTGCGTGCGTGCGTGCGTGCGTGCGTGCGTGCGTGCGTGCGTGCGTGCGTGCGTGCGTGCGTGTGTGTGTTTTTTGACTCTGAAAGTCAGCGCGCCCAAATAGACACTCCCACACCATGCCTCTGTTCTTCCTCTGACACTCCCCCCTAAATAAAGCTGGACACGCCCACTTTTCTGACTTTTTCCAAAGTAGAGGTGTGAAAATACCCTGCTGAAACGAGGGGGTTTCATGGCCCTTTAAAGATTTTTCCATTGTACTAACTGTATCCACTACACAAGGTGTTTCTCAGACGTACATCATCTATTAGTCTAGAACTGAGCAAAAAGCTGTGATCATTTTAAATTCAGATAGGACATCAGTGTTATTTGTAATTAGGTGAAAATAGAAAGTTAGTCCTACACTGAAAGAGTGTTATGGTAGCTAAATGCATCCCATTTACATTGAATCAACACCATGTCAAGATTTTGATGCAGTTTAATTAGCTAATTTAAACCAGTTTTTGAGAGTGAATTTTGATGTCTTTTACAGACAACACCAATTACCCAGCTACCTGTGCATGGACTTGGGTTGTCAAAAATATCAACTTGGGTTACAGTTGGTACTAAAATTAAAAAATGGCAATTTCGTACTAACATTTGAGCACTGTTGAGTGTGTTCTTAAACACCAATGATTGAGCATTGTGTTTGCATGTTCAAGAGATACAGTATGACTGTGATATTTTGCCATAAAATTCAGTGTATATTTTTGCTTAATCTGACCAAATGTACATTCAGTTAATTATTTTTTTTTTCGATTCTAAGTAATTGATTGAATGTCAAAACAGGTTTTTGTTCCAAAAAGTCTATAATTACAGTATGTCTCGACAGTACATAGGAAGAGAGAGTATATATGATAGTATATATGTATATTTGATCCGTTATCATGAAGTACTTTGTTTGGATGGAGACAGTTCAGAGATATAGAGACCTGCACATTAGCCAAGTAATAGCAGAAGCACTTTATATGATTAGCAGTAGCATCGGATTGCTAATGGCTGAGTAATGTTTATTAGAAAGAAGGACTGTGGCTGTTTTGGTTCTCAAACCTTGTGGTTTATTCTAAACCAGGATGTGTAAATGTGATACAGTGTAACTTGGCATGCAAAAAAAAATTGCAATTTTTCTTATTTTACTAGTTTATTTTTTTAATTATGAATTTGTTTAAGCATTAATATATACTTTTTTTGGTTAAAGTGTGTTCTTTAACCAAAGAAAAAAAAAATTGTCATGCATCACTATTGTCATGCATTTGATATACAGTAAATTCCCCAATCTGCCTGCAAACTTGGTTGGTTCATGTGTAGTTGTGCTATTTGACCCTTTGCTGAAACCCCGGAGATGCTTGTCAATGTACTGTATCTTGTCAGTCGTTTCACTGTGTCCCCAAGGAGCCTTACAGTCCTTGAATATATTTTCAGGAAAATGCTGAAAGCTGAATTTTTAGCCTCTTTTCAAACAGCGTTCAAGAGCACAATTCTCAGAAATCAGTAAGCCTTCTGTTGCCTGTCTCATTTGGGCCTTAATGTGATTTGTCTCTAATGTAAAAGCTGGTTGTTCCTTGTTATGGCCTTGCTCTTCCCTGCATTTCACAACGGTCATCGTGGCTTCCTTTACTCTGTGAATAGAAAAGACTTGAACTTCACCCACGGGGTAAAAGTTAACGAATGTTCACACTCAATGTGATTCGCAACAATGGAAGGTGACACCAAGTCATGTATTTTCAGTGAGATAAGAGGATTTGGAATGAAATAAGTGAGGTGAACAGAATAAAAACAAAACATTCTACATGGAATAGTTGATTGGTGAAATGTTACATAATGAATATTAAATTTACCATAAGAAGTTTATTCTAAAAATGCAAAGATCCTCCCCTCATTTTAATTCAACTTAAATCAATACTTTTTTGGCGGTGCAATATATATATATATTTACAAATGCACAAATATAGTTAAATCCATTTTACAATGACATTTACATTCTACCTCACTAGTTTCAAAGTTTGTATTTGGGCGTTTAACTAATATGACATTTAATAATCACACAACAGAAATTCCTTATCATGACAGGTCTATTAATTTTTTTCCTTGAGGAAGAAGTGTATGTAGTTAAAATATGCCGTGCTTTTTTTGTCATGACTTATATACAATATGAATCATATATAGATGTTTAATTTATAGTTGAAGACAACATTTTATAAGCCCTCCTGTGTAATCTCTGTATTTAAAAATTGTTTTAATTGTATTATTTTTGTACTATATTATCACTAAGTTATATTAGTTGAAGACTAAATTTTATTAGCCCTCCTGTGAAATTTGTGTTGTTAAAATGTGCAATTTTTCTTTTTTGTGATGATTTAAATACAGTATAAATCATGAATAAATGTTTAATGTATAGTTGAAGACTACATTATTTTAGCTCTTTTGTGAAATTTTTATGATTTTTGAAATATTTCACAAATTA